TTAGCAAACAAAATAAGCACAGTTTATTTATTAAAATTCTCTACATTTTAATTAAAAATTATAAAGTATACTATAGTGTAACTAAATTTGCGCAGATTTCTAAAAGAATAAATAAATTAATAAAATAATGAGGTATAAAGAAACTGTAGAAAAAGAGGTTTTTGCAAGGTTTTGAGTTTAGGATTTTCTGAAAGTCAAAAGACTTTAAAAAAATACTTTGCTCTATTTTTTGGTTAAAAATAACTAATACGAAATCTTTAATAAAAATTGAGACTTTCTAAATATTTTCCAAAACTCACAAGGAATAATCTTTGCTGAATTCTTAAGCACAGCTTTGTCACTGCCAGTTGCTAAACCTAAAAAGCTAAAAAATTTCGGAATTTTAATCTTGAATTTCAAGTTTATAAATTGCAAATTTTTTTAAAAACGTGCTTGCATTCTATAAAAGCTATTTATATTATTAATACTACTATTATTGTTATTATTATTATTATCATTATCATTATTATTATTCATTATTATTATCTCACACCGTTATATCTAGTAAAACATAAGTTAGATTTGCATCCTCTTTTTGTGAAAATAAAAAAAATGTTAAAATAAATTGAAACAACAAAAAATAAAAACATAAAAAGCAATAATAATAAAAATTAAGCTTTTATAAGCATTTAAAAAGTTTTTTTTGCTGGAAGTTTTCATTTTCATAAAATTTGCATCGTAAAAAACTGAATTGATTAAAATAAAGCTTAAAAATTAATTTAATACTTTTTTATTTTCATTTCTACGACTGATTTCAAAACAATTCAATCCGAAATGCAATTTCTTGAAGATTAATACTTTAGTACTTAATACTTAAAAAAATATAAAATGTTATCTTATATTTCAAAAAGAATACAAAAGTAAAGTAAATATTTTTTCCATACAAAATGATAAAAATTGCAGAGAGAAAGTGCTGTGCGTTACAATGTAGACGACAGTACAATTGTGTCACGTTTACAATCAACGCATTTAGATTTGAATTTGGAAAGCAATACAAATGAGCACACTTCTGTTTCGGGCAAATCTGATCTGTTGGCACGACCACGTGGAAGCGTCACTCGACGTCATTCTATTCCAATTTTACATAGCGGAGCAATTTTCCGCAATGGAATAATTCAGTTGATGTCACAAGGATTAGATCCATTGCAAGAGAATTCAAATGAAGGTCATTAAAAGAATTTTTATTTATTTTTTATAGCTAAAATTAATTTGTTTTTTATTATTTATTTATTTTGCAAATTTTGAAAACATTCATTAAGTAAATTCAAAGAAGTGTTTAAAATAAATATATTTGCTATATTTTTTTACCTTTGCAGCAAGTAATAATACATCCGAACGAAATATACTGAACGAAAACGCTTATGATCGGCAATATGAATCAAATACTGATCAAAAGGTTCTGGGCATTTTCAGTTAAACTTTACAATTTTTCAAGTTATTTTAAAATTTCTCACAAAAATTGTTAATTGTGAGCAACATTTGCCACAAATTTTTTCGATTGGCTTCCATTTCAAATAAGGTCAAAGGCCAAACTTATAAGCAAAGAATTATTAACAAAGCATATTTATAAAAGTTTTAAAATTAATGAAAAAAAAACAAAAAAGATTATTTTACTTTTAAATTTAGTAAAAATGTTAAGAAAAAATGAATATTACTTTCATCTATTTTCTATTATAAATGCATTCACTAATTTATAATCTGATTTAACAACTGCTAAATTTAATTATAGGTTGATGCAGCGTATGAGGTGGATCGTACGGATGTAGGAACGGATCAAAAAGAACCTTCAACTAATAAACGGACTTCAATTTGCCCTAATACAGCTTCTGTATTAGAAATTGTACAGTATTTAATTTTACAAAAATAATAATTACTTTTATTTTGCAACATGTTATAAATAATTAATCAAATAAAACATTACTTGTTATCAAGTCAAAAGCTAAATTCATCTAAATTATTAATTCAATTTAAGAAAGAAATATTAGAAGAAGACGAAGAAAAACCATTGGATATGTCTTGGCCAGAAAAATCACATCGACAATTACTGTATTTATTCCTATCTCCTATTTTATTTCCATTATGGGTAACACTTCCTGATGTTAGGAAAAAGGTAAAAGTATATATATATAATTATTATTTGTTATATGACAATTTACTTAAGTACACGTTTTTCGTACTGTTTAAATGTTTTATGTGTAGTTTAATTTATACTTCCAGCTTATGTTTTATCAAACTTCGTAAAGTTTCACTTTAAAAATTGGTAGAAAATTCTTTTCATAAAATAAAATTCATGATTTAAAAAAAAATTTTTTTTACTTTCGAGTAATTTAGCCTTCGCGTAAATGGTTTCCATTTACTTTTGTTGGTTCTATTTTATGGATTGCATTTTACTCATATTTAATGGTATGGATGGCAAATACAATTGGAGAAACAATCGCCATACCAACTGAAGTAAATTTAGCCAAGTATAAATATTAATAAAATATAAATATTTAAATAATAATAATTGCTTTCTGTTCAATAATAATCGTTTTCTGTATTTAAAATGCTTTGAATGCAACATTTTAATTATACAAAAACAGAAAATGATAAAAACTAAATTAATCAAACAAAGTTTTACTAATTAACTTGTACTGAGTCTTAATTTGATTATAGCCGTATAGTAAACAGAAATATGAAATAATAAAGCTTTTTATATGAATGTTTGTTTGTTTTCATAATTATTATTTCATTTCATCATTATTTTTAGTTGAATATTACTTCAAT